TTTAGCCATTCTGCTAGCTGTTAGTGCTCGGTTTAGTTTTTGAATGCTGTTGGTCATTTGGATATCTTCTTTTATGAAGCGCCTTTTGAGATCTTTTCCTCGTCAATAAGCTCGGTTCTCTGTAATTTTCTTTGTGATGTGTGTAAGTTCTTTCTGTATTTTGGATAAGGTCGTTGCCATATATGAGGTATTGCAAGGAATTATTCCTGGACTGTGGATTGTGTTTTCACTGTGTATTTTATGATTACTTTTTAAATTTTACGTATTTTGGGAGGGGGAGGGGCAGACAGGGAGAGGGTGTGTCTTTTCACTTTTTAAATAGTGATTTATGATCAACGAAGGATTTAATACTTTATGAAATCCAGGTTTTTATACTTTTTTTCTAAGTTCTTTATGTTGATAGAAAAAGTGAGTAGGGGAGGGGCAGAGAGAGAGGGGGAGGGAGAGAGATTCCCAGGCAGGCTCCACACTGTCAGTATGGAGCCCAATCCCCCCGGGGCTCAAACCCGTGAAGTGTGAGATCATGACCTGAGCCAGAATCCAGTGCCGGACGCGGACCTGACCAAGCCATCCAGGCACCCTTCCACATACATTTTAGAATTCGTTGGTAACTTCCCCCCAAAATGCCTACTCCAATAGGAATCAGGGTAATACTGATTTGGTATTCCAACAATATTGAATCTTCTCATCTATGAAGGTGCTGTATACACGTTTATATGTATCTAGATCTCCTTTAATTTCTCTCAGCAATAGTTGTCTGGAGTCTTCCTTATATGTGTTCTTATGCATTTAATGATTGTGTGGATGTGAATCTCTATTGCGTTTATTGAGTTTAATTTTATTTTGTTTCTAAATTTCATTTTCTAAATGCTCACGGTTGGTATGGGGAAATACACTAGATTATCACACGAATGCTACCGAGGGATACTTTGGGTACATTAGACGGCATTTTTAAAGTGTACCATGCGGGGTATGGGTGGCCCAGTTAGTTAGGCATCTGACTCTCTGGACTTTGGCTCAGGCCATGATCTCACGGCTAGTGATTCAAGCCCACACATCGGGTGCTGTGCTGACAGTGTGGAACCTGCTTGGGATTGTCTTGCTCTCCCTCTCTCTCTACCCCTTCCCTGCTCAATCTCAGAATAAATAAATAAACATTAAAAAAGTAAATAAGGCGTACAATTCAATGCACAGCAAAATCAAACTCCAGCTACCATCAAGACACGGCATTTCTTCCAGCTCACAACTTCCCTTGTGGCCCTTTGCAGTCCATCACTGTCTCCGCCTCAGCCCCAGGCAACCACTGACCCTACAGGTGGGTTTGCATTTGTTAACAACTCTAGGTAGGTGGAACGCTTTGGTGCCTACATTCCTTGGTGCAGCATAAGGATTCTGAAATCCGTCCATATTACTGCGTGTATCGCCAGTTCGTGCTTTTTTATCGCTGAGTAGTATTCCTCCGAATGGCTACATCCTGTCGATTTATACAGTCACCTACCGGTGACCTCTGTGTGGTCTCCAGGGTTTAGCCACTGTGAAGAAAGCGATGGGGACTTTTCATGTACAGATCGGTGTGTGGACATATTGTGTAAATACTTAGAAGTGAAATGGCTGTTTATGCGAGTGGTCAATGTTTAACTATGGTTCAGCCTCTCTACAGGACTGGACCAGTTTTCATTCCCACAAGTGTTGGAAACTTCTAGTGACTTCACATCCTCACCACATACATTTCCGGCCTTCTTCATTTTAGCCCATGGCGATGGACGTGTAATGCTAACTCACGGCATCATTAACTTGTGTTCCTCCTGATGACTGAGTGTGTTCTGGAAAACTGACCTCCGTGCTTTGGAGCCAAAATATACCACAAAGACAGAGTCTGAGATAAGGAGGAACACTAACAGCTTTCTTGCTTTCCCAGGCAGAGGACGACAGCAGGCTAAGGCCTTCAAAAACTGCCAGCTCCTGCCCCCTGGAGGAAGGGGTTGGGGGTCTTATCGGGAAAATCAAGGTGTGGGCAGTAGTGACAGCAACTGTGTACATGCTGCTACCCTCCTTCCTCATGTCCTGGGGTGTACCTGCTTCCTGATACAGAAGGCTAAGAAGGGAGGAGGGGAGCTTTGCAGAAGACAAGAAAAAGGTTACTTAGTTTAAAATCGAACCTGCGGAAACATCAGTGAAGCCATTTTGGTTTTTCTTCAACTTTATGCCTTTCAGTGGTTTCAAGCGGAGCATCTTTTCAAGTGCTTTGTGGCCATGTGTATATCGTGTTTTGTGAGGTATTTCTTCTTCGAGACTTTTGACCAGGAGCACCTGGGTGGCTCAGCTGGTTAAGTGTCCGACTGGTGATTTTGGTTCTGGTCATGCTCCCACAGTGCCTGAGATCGAGCCCCACTTCAGGGTTTGTGCTCACTGTGTGGAGCCTGCTTGGGATTCTGTCTCCCTCTCTCTCTGACCCTTGCCTCCTTGCTCTCTATAGCCCTCTCAGAATAGATAACAATAAACTTAAAAGACTCTTGACCAATTCTCTTCTTGCACTGTCTTATCACACAAAATACGTGTCAGAACAGTACACTGAACACTACACAGCATTACCTTGAGAAATTAATGAACTAAACACATGGAGAGGTAAAATTTGCTGTGGATTGGAAGACCTCAATATGGTTTACATGTCAATTCTTCCCAAATTGATCTACAGATCTGATACAAGGCCAATCAAAATTCCAGCAGACATGCTAGGAAACATTTCTAAGCTGATCCAACACTTCATATGGAAATGGAAAGGATCTTGAATTATCAAAGTGATTTTAAAAAGAAGAAGAATGGTGGATGACTCAAGTGCCTATTCCAGAATGGCCATACACATCTTTTACGCAACTTCAGAGTGATGTATCCTATTATTATTCAGTTGTAAGAGTTTCTGTACGTTCTCACTGAAGCTTGGAAGTTGCTCTACTCCCTTTGTACGTGAATTCCTTCTTCTAAAATTTGGCTAATATTTATATTGGTTTTTATGTGGCGAGAGAATACGGAAGACCAGAAAGCATTTAACTTACCAGAGAGGAAGACAGATCATCACTGGGCATTATGGAGAGGATGACCCTATGAGATTTAGTGAAGTTGCCTCTGTTTCTCCAGCTGGCCAAGACATAGTGGGTAGTAGCTACAGATGCCAGCCGTTTCCTCTGGACACCTTGGCAGTGTTGACTGGTTGGAGCCACCATGCACCCCGGGTGTCAGTTGTGTCCTAAAAGGCTGAAATCTGGCTGAGGCTCCAGGGCTGTTGGGCCAAGGCAGGTCACCCAGCTGTTGGAAAACACAGAGGGAGACCAGAACAATCACCGAGGTCATCGCCAGGCAGCTTTGGCCATTTCCTCCAAGGAACCCACCACCACTACACTTCTCATGACTTCCTGTTTCCAGACTGAGATCCCCAGGACAGTTGGGAGAATGTGTTATTCACCACTGTATTCGGGGTTCCTAGCACCGAGCCAAGCACTGAGGAGGCCCTCAGGGACTTCCTTTCACTGATCAAATACAAGTTGCTGCCAATCTCTGACCATCTCAACTCCATTCCAGTCACAAATGTGCTTTCTCCCAAGAGGTAGCGAATCCCCTCCCTCAGAGAGGAACCTGCCCTACCCTCTCCATGTCCCAGGACACTGCCCTGTGGTGAGCTCTGATGAAGACGGGGTTCTCCTCGGGGATTCCTCTCAATGGCTCACTCTGTCATTGGGAAGAGATGTCCTGGGCCTGGCCCCCCACTCCAATCCTCTGCTCTGTCACAACACAACACCCCAGTGCAGGAGAGCTACCACATTGTGTTTGCATCGTTCTCCCACTGCTTTGTCCTCCTCGGGAAATCGTATTGAGTTCCAAGTTCTGAACACAGCCTCAGAAAAATGAAGCACTCAACCAATAGTCAAGAAAATCACTGGTCAACAGATATTATGTGTAAAGCCTTCCACGCTCCTGACCAGAAATTCAGAAGAATATTATTCCTATTATGACTTCAGATGCAAGGGTCCCCTCTCCTGGCCCCTCCTGGCCTTAGGGCAAAACGATTTGTGGTAAGAATGGACATCTCCAAATCTGATCCAAACGCCACTGATCCCTCCAAACCCACACTTCCTTGGAGGCCATCCACTGTCAGGGCAGCTCCAACGTCGAAGCTCGGGGACTGGGGCAGAGTCTCATGGTCACACCATCCTACCCTTAGCAACGGTGCTTCCCGGCAGTGCAAACCAACCCCCGTCCGTCCTGTGGGGCTCCCTGGCAGATGCACCGTTCACTGTGGAGTGCCTTACACCCCCAGTCCTCACTGCTCACCTCAGGCTGCTCCTTGCAGGGTTGGATGCTACTGTACGCATTCCTCAGTTTCTCCAGATTGTTCTGAGCTCAACTTGCCCGTATTCTTATGTCCTTGGGGAACCACCATTCCACCATTACCTTGTCCTTCTCTGGGTTATTCTCATGCTCCACACCTGCTGATTTTCTGTCTTCCATAGGCTCCCTCGGTCCTCTGTTTCCAGTGTGGGCTCAGCCGGGCTCCTGCAGGAGACACACAGACAAGGGACCAAGTCAGGTCTCAGCCGCAGTCCCCAGAACACGTTTAACAGGCACCTCAGTCCCTCATGCTCTCAGAGAGACTGAGCGGCAAGGGACTTTGGAGAAGGTGAATAATAACCTTATGTTACAGATGAGGAAACTGAGGCCCAGAGAGATGAGGAGATTTTCCCAAACTCCTTCATCGCTTGATGGCAGCAGACACACCAACAGTTGTCTTGGCCGCAAGCTTCCCTTGGACTCTCCTATCACACCCTCCAGGAATCCACATCTGAATTTCAGAGGACACTGATCAAACATCAGTACCCCCCTTGCCCCCCTGTTAAAACAAAAATGTCGCAAGGAACTTTTCTGGGACACTTCCTTGTCACACGTCTACATTCCTGTTGTTTATATTCATTTGATTTTCAAGCCTACCTCACACAATGAGCTGAAAGTACTCAACAATTAAGTAAAATTCATCACAGCAGAAATTAAAATGTATTGATGTGGTTATGTATAAGACACTGATCTCCTGGGCTGGGAAATCATCTTTCTGACAGCGGGCGCTCTGCGTGCCCTGTTCATCCCGTCTCCACAGCGCCTCCATTAAGAGCCTGCCAGGGAAAACGTTCAGTAAATACTTGTCAAGCAGATAAATAACAGTTATCAGGAACAACTGCCTTTTACTGATCTCTAGTCCCAAACACAGTTCCAAACAAACCCTATCCCAGATCTGTGACAAAGCAATAAAAGCACAACATTAAAAAAGCGTTCCAGGATTCCAAAACCAGCTTTACCACACGTCACATACACTTTGATGGATGATTTTATTATCTTTTAGAGCACCTTTTCCTCATGTAAAATAGAGAATGTATACTGTAAATAGAAGGCAGCATCAACCACTCGGGTGTTGGATGTGAAATGTGACATCGTGCAGCAGACAGGGCTCCAGTCCCTGGGCACCAGCTGTGGGGCTGAAGGTCACCTACATCAGAGTCACTGTGGTGCCTGTTCAAATCCCATGGGGATAAGAAGCTGCATCTCAGACAAAAATTCCAAGGAGATTCCCAGGTAAGGAAGAAGCCCATTAGTAAACAATGAGCATAGGATGCAGACCCTGAAAGCCCCAGTGCTCACCAGACTGACTCAGCTTTGAGCAGATCAAGTCCCTCATTCAAGATGGCTTTCAATGGGAAATGGGGACATTTCTGGGAAGTGGGTCCTGCTTCCGTGATCTGGGCTTTTAGCACCTCCACTGCCCTATAGTTTCCTCCTCTACTCCATTCACTGGGGGATGTCATCCCTCATGGAGGTCATTTCTTCATGAAGACCTCTGTCCTTTTATTCTCTTCCTGGAGTAGGAGATGGCAGAGATCAGTTCTGGGACTCCAAAGATCTAGGCTCCTCCTAAGCCATCTGGGTATGTGGAAACAATCATGACAGATGGAAATCAGATCAGGGAAGAGGACCCCAGAGGAGGGAGATGGTGAGGGTGGCCCCTCATGGGAGAGACAACCACAACAAGGTCACTGTCAGACCTGTTCAGGTGGGGGCAACATACTCATCAATTCTGTGAGCAGAGAAGCAGCCTTGTCATCCAGACTTCTGATCTGCAGGACTGGGAGATAACAAATGTTTGTTGTCAGAAACCACTGTTTTGTCATTTGGTAATATGCAGCAATGGGGAAGTTTGGATGCTTATTTCTAATCCGCTGAGCTTTGTAATGTTTTCAAACTTGTGTGCTAATCTCTATAAAGAAAAAAGCATGAAAAAACCACAGTAGCAATCTGTTCCTCACTTTCACATGACTGCTCCCAAGCCCTTGTAACATCAGGGACACTGTGAAGGGCATTTCAAGTGCTGGAGAAATGTCTCTTTAATGTTGCCAAACAAACTCTTTAATGTTGCCAAAGAAACATGGTAGAACACTTAATTCCACATAACATTATTTGTAAATCTATCAACTTTCTCCATCTTCTATGGAAGAGTTTTTTTTCTAGCTTCTTGTTCTCTTGAGCTACCAGACAAGGTTTCATAGCAAGAACCACTTACCCGCACAGGCAAATCAATTCAAGGAGAGCAATGTTACAGCCACTGTATTATGTTCCCCCAAAGTCTTTTCAATGCAACCTCTCCTCTTCTTTTGACTAGAAAGAAAGAAAAGATCTATTTTGTAAAGTCCTATTTTAATGAAAATGCAAACTTAAATGTCTCTGTTTTCCAATTTTTCTTTTGCTCAAGCTCAATCATGGAGGCCTAATTCCTCAGGTTGAGTTCACACTTGGCTCCAACCTGGGCCCTCTGTCAACAGAAGTCAGGGAATCACAATCTCACACCTCTTTGGTGAACCAGCCTCTCACCCTCAAAACCCAGAAGAATTTGTGAACCCAAAAGACAGGAGCTCTCACGAAGTAAGAGTGATATATGTGCACTGGTCTTGGCTCAGATTGTCTGAGAAAAAAGAGCAGTCATAAAACAGGAACTTTTTTATTCTCTATGCTCTTTGAAGGAGAGCAAAAAGAAAATCATGTTGATTTCTGCTTTGCTGGGATGTCAGGTAAGTGAGGCCAGTGACTGTAAACTTATTTGAGGAAATCTCTGAATAGGGGTTACTTGTTAGCAAAATAAATGGTAGGTACAAATGCTATCCAGTATCAGCAAGAGAGAGGAACAAAAAAATACTTGAAATTATAGAGAATATGAATTCATAAATCTTCTGTGCAAGGCACTAGGGCAGGAATTAGAAAAATTAGGTATGTACAAATATATTTCTAAATTTTTTTTAACGTTTATTTATTTTTGAGAGACAGAGAGACAGAGTGTAAGCAGGGGAGGGGCAGAGACAGAGGGAGAAACAGAACCGGAAGCAGGTTCCAGGCTCCGAGCTGTCAGCACAGACCCCAATGCAGGGCTCGAACCCACGAAGCACAGGATCATGACCTGGACTGATGTCAGACGCTAAAATGACTGAGCCACCCAGGTGCCCCTGTAAATGTATTTCTAAACTGAGCAATTCCATTCACAGAAATATATGCTGGGAAAATATACAAGGTAGCATGAAGATGATAGAGGTAGAGACAGAGATATAGAGATAGAGACGTCCTCCACAGCATTGTTGTAAGAGCAATCACGGGAACCAACTACATCTCCATCATCTGCAGAACAGTTATTTATGATGCTGTATCTGAACCTGAAATGGTCTGCACTTGTCCAAAAGAACTAGGCAGATGATAAAACTGCTGACAGCAGAGGACCGA